ATATTGTTTGTTTCCTGCCACTTTTGCTTTGGTGTTCCCTGTGGGCATTTGCCATCGTTCAAGTGGTAGGCAATACAGATATATACAGATACAGATACGGTATGGATGAATATTGAAAATTCAAAGAATGGTGCATATTGCTGCTCTGTTCTTTGAATTTTCAATATTTATCTGTAACTGAGCTATAGATTTAGGCTCCACCAAAATTTTTTCTAACATGATTAATGTTAGAAGTTTCAGAGGTTTATTTGTTTATTTATCACATACTACCACAATCCTGAAGGATTCTGCCGATGCCAAATTGAGAAATCAACAAATGTTTTAATTGGATATTTTGCTATTGAGCATTTTTAAGTAATCCAGATTCTTTTTGTAGAGACTCAGAAACTTTAAAAGACTCTTTAACAATCAATTGATCTGACGTATTAATTTCTTTTCTGCCTGTTTTCTCTGAAACAAGCAAAACTTTTACTAACCATTTTTTAAATTAGGGTTACCTGAAAGGGTCAGGATCAAAATGAAACCTTCATTCCAAAGTCTTTCCAACATGTTTTGCTGTCTTTAAAGCAGGAAAAATAACAGAGTGTTGGCTAAAGTTAAAATCAAACACTTGCCCAGTTTTCAAAGGAGTAAAATTAATTATAAATAGATATTTTTCATATTTATTGAACATCCCAGCAGATGTTCAAGAAAGATTGTATGTCTTCCCTTTTTATATCAATGAAACAAATTTGAAGGAACTTTAACACATATGGTTTGGACTTGCAAGGCTACCCCTTGTTGGTTTTAATATTTCTATCTTTATTAACATGATGTTAAAAAGAATTAAGTTTAAAGATATGAATGTAATATTAAACAATGTACTGAAACTTTGGAATTTGTCAGTCCATTAGAACTTTGGATATATCAGGATTTAGGTACAGCAAGAAGACAATAGTGCATGGCTGAAAAGAAATTACAATGCCTGCTGTAAAATCTTGGACTCCAGAAATGTGTTCACATTTCGCCTTTGAACTGGCTCTTTGTAGGCTTAATGGAAAAACTGATCAATATGAGTCCAAGTCATTGTTGGTCATAATTCAACTTCTTGTTAAAAAGGTGATTCACTTTACAATGGGATTGTATTTTACAGACATGTTGTGATGTATTTTGTTTTATTTTCAGTTTAGAGAATGTTATTTTTTTTCTTCTTTTCCCTCTTCTTTTTCTTGTATTTTAGTATATACAAATAATAACAATAGCTGTTAAAAAGATGGGGGAGCAGCAAGATGAAGAAGGTTGGTTTATGGAAGACTGAATACAACCTTCAAGTCTGTTTTTAGAAACTACTGGAAGCAACTTGCTTGCATTTAAGCTTCTTACAACCTAATGCAACACCTATTTTTAATCAGGAATGAAGAAATAGCTTTATCCTACTCAGAATCAGATACACTTGAGTGTACTCATTTCAGAAATGAATTAGATCTGCCTAACAGGAAGAAGTGCATAAGTGTGCAAACTTTAACTCAGCTGCTGGGAGTAAACTCCATTAAATTCACAGGGACATCCTTTTGAGTCAATATGTATAGGAGTACAGTGAAAATCCCATTAGTTATAGCCCATTCTGTGCAATCTGACATGGAAGCAAACTCCACTAAAAGTTTACTTATTTCTAAATAAATTTCCATAATACCAGACTACAACATTGTGTACTTATTAGGAAGTAGCTATACTTCAGTAATGTTTCTAATTGTGGGTAGATCTGTTTAAAAATGGGCTGCTGGGCTGATAGGTTTAAATACTGGTGGAATTTAACTTTGATTATATGTCATCAAGTCAGTGTGGACTCTTAGTAACCACATAGATAGATTTTCTCCATTACTATCCATCCCTAACCTGGTGTTTCAGGTCTTCCAACATTGCCACTGTAACTGAGTCAGAATTTAACTTTAAACAATTAAAGTATATTTAGAGGAACTCTTCTAGCGTTTAGGGTGGAAATTCTTATGTGTAATTTCATGTGTCTATCTATACAGCACCCAACAATGGCCATTTTTGGAGACCATATTATATTTCCATAGCAGAAATCAGCCATTGGAGGGCTCAGGGACAAATCCATCATTTGTTTGTTTGTTTATTATTAAATTTATATGCTGCCTATCTCCCCCAGTTAAAGGGAGTTAAAGGGAGAAGGTATTTTGGAACTAAGAATGCCAGCAGGCCACTTTAAGGACAGAAATGAACAATGTCACCTTCATCTTTACTCTGTTGCCAAAGATTGAAGCAGCTATGCTAAGACAATAGGCTCTCTGTTTCATTTAACAAGTCGTTACTGTATGTCTTCCGTTGACCTGAAATCCTAGAGACACTTGACTAGGAGCAAGCCTTAGTGAATTCAGTAGGATGACATTGTGATAGCATTGTAGATAGTGTCGTTAAGATGCTGATGCTTCAAGAAAGTGTTCTGTTATGGGGAGGTATTCCAAACGTTTTGGATTGTGGCACTTCTTTCTGTGACATAATTTTTAATGTTCCTTGTTTTAAAAGTGGGTGACGGGTAAACCTTGATTAGGATCTTTATTTTTAGAAGCAAATTTGTGTAGCTCAGGGTTGAACTGTGAAGTCCTTGGGGTTCTCTGAGCTTGGTTGTTTTCTTGCAAACGTTTCATTAACCAGGTAGGTAACATCTTTAGTGCTAGAATGGGATGGGGTTTGCTCTCTGTTTATATATTGTAGCATGCCCTGCCAGTGTTGGTGGGGGTGTGGGTTTGGTTTTGTTCTATTTTTTTCTCTGGTTGTTCCTTGATTAAGGTATTGTTTGCTGCTTGTGTGTCTGGTGGTAATCTTGGTGTTAATCTCTGCTTATCTGGGTGATGATTGCTGGTGAGGAGATGTTCTGGTCTTTTGTTTTCCTTTCCTTTCTATTGTCTCTTTTGAATAGTGTGTAGATATTGTTTATCTCT